GAGTCATACAGGCTTGATTATTGTAACCTCTTCAGTCTTTATTGTGGACCTCTTGCACTCAGCTGATATTGAAGCAGGCAAAACTCTTTCTATTTCAACTACTGCTCTCAAATTGGCCTGTTGTGCTTTCTAGTATGTTCTTATTGGCTATTTTGGGATTATCCTGTTCTGAGTTCCATTAGATGCAGCCCCACTGAGTATTTCTTTTTCTGCTACACAGGCACTACTGTGAGGCCTTTTGGCTGATGGTAGTTTGTATTCTGGGTTTGTTGAGGATACCTTGTCATCTAGTCTTGGAAATGTTGTCAAGGGGGTTTAGTTTTGCTATCTGTTTGCTCTGTCTGGTTTTATGTGGGGATTTGGAGAGTTTGAAAACTATGCTGCTCTTGCTGTCTTCCCAGACTTCCCTATAACTGTTTGTGTGTGTGTGTGTGTGCACACGTGTGTGTGTGCACGCGTGTGTGTGTGCGTGCACGCGTGTGTGCGTTTACAGTCTGTTTGAATCAGGATTTAAATAAATTGATATGTCTCTTACAATCTATAGATTCGCCTTCAGCATCTGTCCCTTTCTCTCTCCCTTCTTCCTTTTTTCCCTTACAGTTTATTAGTTGAAAAAAACACATTCTATGTCCTGAAGAGAAATGCTAGGCATTTTGCTTACTGCGTCTGTGTGTTGTAGCTTACTATCTTCTTCTGTCCTTCGTATTTCCTTTGAACTGGTAGTGGATCTGGAGTCTTGATCAGATTCAGGTTCCGTGATAGGTTGTATATTAAAAAAAAACACTGTATGGGACAGCTCAGGGAGACGAAACAATACAGAAACAGAAAAACTGGATGAAAAACTCAAGTTGAAAAGTTGACTTTGAAGAATAATCAAATCCATAGAAACGGAAGGTAGAATAGTGGTTGCCAGCAGCTGGGGGCAGGGAGAATGAGGAGTGACTGCTAATGGGTACAGGGTTTCTTTTTAGGGTAAAGAAATTAGATTCTGTGATGATTGCAAAACTCTTAAAAACCACTGAATTGTATGCTTTAAAAAGATGGCGTTTGTGGTGTGTGAATTGTATTTCATTCAATAAAGCTGTTTTCTTAAAAAAGGAAGTTGGACTTGAAAAGGAAGAGGGATACCTACTCCCCTGAGACTAGTAGGAAGGAGGTTGGCATGGGTACACATGTTGATAGGTTTGTGACTTTTCTCCGATAAGCTGTACTTAGATATTCAACTATCTGTTGAAAATATTCATTTGGATGTTGTATAGGCATGTCAAACTCAATCTCATTGCTATTGAAGTGTCATGCAAGCTGCATGTAATTTTTAATTTTCTAATAGCCAATTTAAAAAGTAAAAAGAAACATGTAAAATTGATTTTTATAATATCTTTTATTTAATCTAATATATCTAAAATATATTTTAACATGTAGTTAAGGGGCCGTCCCCATGGCTTAGCGGTTAAGTGTGCGTGCTCCGCTGCTGGCGGCCCAGGTTTGGATCTTGGGCGGGCACCGAGGCACCACTTGTCAGGCCATGCTGTGGTGGCATCCCACATAAAGTGGAGGAAGATGGGCACAGATGTCAGCCCAGGGCCAGTCTTCCTCAGCAAAAAAAGAGGAGGATTGGCATGGATGTTAGCTCAGGGCTGATCTCCCTCACAAAAACAAAAACAAAAAACAAAACATGTAGTTAATATAAAACTTACTCATGAGATATTTTACATTCATTTCTCACACAAGTCTTTGAAATTCAGTGTGTATTTTACACTTACAGCGTATCTCAATTCAGACTTTGCACATTTCAAGTGCTCAGTAGCTACATGTGGGTTCTGCCTAGATACTGGACAGTGCAGAGGAGGAGGTTTAAAGTGGAATTCCTGAACTTGTTTCTGTCTCCTTCATCTCAGTAAATGACCCCTCTTTCTAAGGGTCATTCTCCCATTTCCCTCTTCCTTACCATCCACATCAGTTAATCACTTAGTTCTACTCATTTTTATCTTTAAAATTTTTGCAAGTCCATCTCTTTTTATCCAACTCTACCAAATGCCCCAATTTTAAGACATCATTTCTTGCCTGGGCTATTACAGTAGCCTCTCAACTGGTTTTCCTCTCTCTGCTTTTGCCCCCCTAGCCATAAATCCATCACCTATTTTGTAGCCAGAGTCCCTGCCTACCTGAGAATCTCACCATGCCACTCCTCCACTTAATACAATTTAGTGGTTTCACAGTACTTCAGGAGTAGTCTGTGCCCACAGTGAGTGCACAGGTGAATCTTTGGGAAAGTGGAAAAGGAAAGTAGATATCTGTCCTTACCTCATTCTTTTGAGAAGTACGTTTAGTGTCTGTTTCATAATGTGCGTAACAGAGTAGAACATGTAAGTAATTTAAAAATGAATATAATTATACTGATGAAATATGCTAAGGTCCAGGCTCCTCTGCATGGCGTTTGAGGCCTGGCCCCTTGTCTACCTTTCTGCCTCATCTTTTGCCTTGCACTTTATATCTGGTGATACTGCACCATTTCTTTATGAGTCTTTCAACATTTGTCATCTGTTTTACCCTTCCATGTGTTTACTGGTGCTGCTTCTCCTGCCTGGATGCCCTTCCTAACTCCCTGCACTTGGCTAGCTCTTTTTTTTTGTTGTGGTGATGATGGTAGTAAGAACACTTAACATGAGATCTATCTATCCTCAAGAAATTTTTAAATGTACATTATTGTTAACTGTAGGCACTCTGTTGTACACCAGCTCTCTAGAACTTACTGATCTTGCATAACTGAAACTTCATACCTGTTGAACAACAACTCCCCATTTCCCCTTTCCCCCCAGCCCCTGGCGAGCACCATTCTACTCTCTGCTGCTGTGAGTTTGGCTGTTTTAGATACCTCTTCTAAGTGGAATCATGCATTATTTGTCCTTCTGTGACTGGCTTATTTGACTTAGCATAATGTCCTCCAGGTTCATCCGTGTTGTCACATATGGCAGGATTTCATTCTTTTTTAAGGCTGAATAATGTTCCATTGTATGGCTATACTTTTTCTTTATCCATGCATCTACCTGTGGACATTTAGGTTGTTTCCATATCTTGGCTATTGTGAATAATGCTGCAGTGAACATAGGAATGAAGATACCTCTTTGAGATCCTGATTTCAATTCTTTCAGATATATACCTAGAATTGGGATTGTGGGATTATATGGTAGTTCTATTTAAGTTTTTGAGGAACCTCCGTACCTTTTTCCATAGTGACTGCACCATGTTACATTCCCACACAGTGTACAACGGCTCTAATTTCTCCACATCCTCACCAACACTTGCTATTTTGGGTTTTTGTTTTCTTTTTTGTTTTTTTTTAATAGTAGCTGTCCTAACAGGTGTGGAGTGAAACCTCATTGTGGTTTTGATTTGCATTTGCCTGATGATTAGTGACGTTGAACATCTTTTCATATACTTGTTGGCCATTTGTATGTTTTCTTTGGAGAAATATCTGTTTGTGTCCTTTGCTTATTTTTAAATTGAGTTATTTGGTTTTTATGCTGTTGAGTTGTAGGAGTTTCTTAGATATTTTGGATGTTAACCCCTTATCAGATAAAGGGTTTGCAAATATTTTCTCCCATTCCATAGTTGCCTTTGTTGTTGTTTTCTTTTTGGTGAGGAAGATTCACCCTGAGCTAACATCCATTGCCAGTCTTCCTTTTTTTTTTGCTTGAGGAAGATCAGCCCTGAGCTAACGTCCATGTGACTCTTCCTCTATTTTGTACATGGGACGCCTCCACAGCATAGCTGATGAGTGGAGTAGGTCCGCGCCCAGGGTCTGAACCCGTGAACCCAGCTGCTGAAGTGGAGCGCGCAGCTTTAACCACTCGGCCGCAGAGCCAGCCCTGACTTTTCATTTTGTCGAGTGTTTTCACTTGACTCTTACTCCAGCAAGTCTTCCTTCTCTAGATTAGACTAGATATCCCTCTTCCAAGTTCCCGTAGAACATTATGAATAACTGTGACTTGGCACTCACCTTATTATATTGGAATTATATTATATTGGAATATTACATCTGTCATTATATGTCTGTTTGCTCTCTCGCCCATTCCCCAAAACTCATATTGAGGGAAAGGGTGTTGCCTCAGTTATTGTTTTTGTACTTTCAGTCCCTAATACAGTTTTTGGCATATACTTGGCACTCAGATATTAGAACTAAACTGAACCCCTGAAAAAAATTTTTTTTTTTTTTGGTGAGGAAGATTAGCCCTGAGCTAACATCTGTTGCCGATCTTCCTTTTTTGCTGAGGAAGATTGGCCCTGGGCCAACATCCTTGCCCGTCTTCCTCTACTTTATGTGTGGGACGCCTGCCACAGCATGGCTTGATAAGCGGTGTGTAGGTCCACGCCTGGGATCCGAACCTGCAAAACCCAGGCCACCGAAGCGGAGTGCGAGAATTTAACCACTATGCCACTGGGCAGGCCCCTGAATCTCTGAAAGTTTTAATGATTAAGTTGTCAAAGTTTAGGCCTAGGCATTAATCAAACTTAAAATAATTGAAGAGTTAGATCCATTATTAATACCAGTGGCCTCCATTTAAAAATTGAGTAGATAAATGAAACTGAGAATAGTGGTACTTTTAATTTTAGGTGAAAAAGAACTGAAGCAAACGTAGAATACAGAAAGATAAATATTGACCAGTATGTAAACTCTGCAAGGGCTGAGTTTTTGTTTATTCTTTTCACAAATTTATTCCCAGTGTTAGGACAGTGCCTGGCATATAACAGTAAGTAACTAGTCAGTAAATATTTATTGATTAAATGAATGATGCGCGTAGAAAAGCACTCTAGCTTCATACTTTATTGGGCTTTTAAGGCAGAAAGTAAGTTCAGAACATTTCCTCATCTCTAATTCAATTTAAAATTTACCACTTGAAGCAAAAATCAAATTACTCTCTTACATTATTTTATAGTTTTGTAAAGGAAGTCTCTTTAATAAGTGTAATGGAGTATAAATATTTTTTTTTCTCTTTTAGTAAACGAAGCAAAAAAGGAGATAAAAATGGAAAAGGCTTGAGACATTTTTCAATGAAAGTGTGTGAGAAAGTTCAGCGGAAAGGTACAACATCATATAATGAAGTAGCTGATGAGCTGGTGTCCGAGTTCACCAATTCAAATAACCATTTGGCAGCTGATTCGGTAGGTAGATCACGCACGTGACGTTGACTGTGATGAGTGGTGCGGCAGTCTACCTCTCGGGTGGTCTGTGTCGGCAGTTTGAGGACTCAGACGTACTAGGGAATCCTCGACTTCTTTACTTGAGGGTTCACATTGTCTGTTGGGGAGTTTTGTTGTTGTTGATTTTTTGTTTTGGAAAGGATTCTTTTATGATTTATTTAAATGTAAAGATGAACAAGTATTTTTTAAATATAATTTGAGAGTTACTGAAAGAACGTACTTTTTTTAACATACTTTTTATATTTGAATGACTTTAGATATGTTTCTGTATCTTTTAGTGTTTTTTCTATGTCTAAGTCTAAGAAAATTTTATTTTGTTTTCAATTGAAAAAATAAGACATGAACATGTTTATAAAAAATTTAGTTGTACCAAAGATGTATATATTAAAAAGTATGTCCACCACAGACCATAATCTACCTCCCAAAGATGGTAAAAAAAAAAAAAGATAATATTGACTATTACCAGATTCTTCTCCAGAAATTCTTTATGCATGCCCATAATAAAATTTATTTCCTTTTTTATTTTAACACAAATGTGATTGTGCTTTTCATGCTGCTTTTTTTTTTTTTGCTGAGGAAGATTCACCCTAAGTTATCATCTCTTGCCAGTCTTCCTCTTTTTTTTTTTTTTGCTTGAGGAAGATTAGCCCCGAGCTAACGTCTGTGCCAGTGTTCCTCTATTTTGTATGTGGGTTGCTGCCACAGCATGGCTGATGAGTGGTGTAGCTCCATGCCTGGGATCCAGACCTGAGAACCTGGGCTGCTGAAGTGGAGCATGCTGAACTTAACCACTATGCCACGGGGCCGACGTGCTGCATTCTTTTTTTTCTTTTGTGAGGAAGATCTGCCCTGAGCTAACATCTGCCAGTCTTCCTCTTTTTGCTGAGGAAGACTGGCCCTGGGCTAACATCCATGCCCAGCTGCCTCCACTTTTACGTGGGACGCCACCACAGCATGGCTTGACAAGCAGTGTGTCAGTGTGTGCCCGGGATCCGAACCGGCGAACCCGGGGCCAATGCAGCGGAGCGCCTGCGCTTAACTGCTCGCGCCACTGGGCTGGCCCCCATGCTGCATTCTTAATTTTATTTTCTTAACAAAATATCTTGGGAATTCTTTTTTAGCACGTATAAATCATCATCATTTTTTTCCAATGGACGTAAAATTACGTACAAGGAGGGAAACACATCTTAAGTGTACAATTAAATTATGAAATTATTTTTTTCTTTATTGTGCAATAGTTTACATACAATAAGATGTATTCATTTCAAGTGTAAAATTCGATAAGTTTTGACAGTTGTGTGCACCTAAGGAACCACCGCCATAATCAAGATTCAGAACATTTCCATCACTCCCAAAAGGTTCTTCCGGCCTTTTGTAATCAATCCATCCCTTCCTCTCCCTCTGTCGCCAGGCAACTGCTGATTTGTTTTTTATTGTTATTGATCAGTTTGCATTTTATTTAAATGTAATCGTACTATATGCACTGCACAACAATATTAAATAATAATAGTAACTCTAGTCATGTTGAGTCTTCAATTCTTGACCTAAGTGGAAATATTTATAGTATTTCCACCTTAGTATGGTAAAGGTTTTATTTTTGAGATGATAGCAACCATAACTTGATTTTTTTAAATGAACATTTCTTTCTTTTTTCTTAATTAGAAAAAGTCAGAAATGGATGTTGAATTGAATCAAATTCTGGATAGTTTCCTGAAAATTTAGGATTTTTACACTGATAGTCATGAATGAGATTGGTGGGGTTTTTCTTTTTTTTTTTTTTTACCATCTTTGCAGTTTTGATTAGCGTTATGCTGGCTTTATCAAACGAGTTTAGAGGCCTTCTTTTTCTCTTTCTCCTTACTCCCCTACAGGTGCAATAGCATTGGATGTCTGTTTCTGTTTCCTGAAACTTTGTAGAAATCACAGGTGGTTTGGTGATCTAGGCCTGGTGATTTGGGCCGGGGAGAGCTTAGAGAGCTTTCTCCATTTCTTTGGTAACTAGTCTGTTTAGAATTTCTGTCTCTCTTAGAGTCAGTTTGGTATTTTATGTTTTCTTAGAAAATCTTCCATTTCATCCATGTTCTCAAAATTATTTGCCATTATTTTTCCCAGAGAACCATCTCTTGGCTTTGTTTGTACTGACCTCCTGTTTTGTAGTTAATTTTTGTTTTTGTCTTTATTTAATATTCTCTTTCCTGAAGTTACTTTTCTACCACGTAGACTATGACGTATACTTTATTTACTTTCATTATTTTTGTTTGGTAATGACAATCTTTATGGCTGTGACTTTTCCTCTTGTGTGCTGCTTTAGTGGTATTCCACTGATTGCGATATCATGTTATTCTTTAAAAGATTTTATTTATTTATTTTTTTCCCCAAAGCCCCAGTAGATAGTTGCATGTCACAGTTGCACATCCTTCTAGTTGCTGTATGTGGGATGCGGCCTCAGCGTGGCCGGAGAAGTGGTGCGTCGGTGCGCACCTGGGATCCGAACCCAGGCCGCCAGTAGCAGAGCGCACGCACTTCACCGCTAAGCCACCGGGCCGGCCCTCATGTTATTCTTTAAATATTGTGTAAATTTGGTTTTAATTTCCTCTTTACCTAAGAATTGCATGAGAGAGAGTTCTTATAGTTCCAGGTGATAGGGATTTTTGTTTGTTGTTATGAATTTTTACTTTTATTATCTATGATCAGAGATTGTGAGTCAAACTATTTCTGTTTTTTTGGATTGCTTTGAGATTTTCCTTGTGAGCCATTATATGGCGATTTTTTTTTTCCTTTAACATTCTCTGGGCACTTGAAAGTATGTAGCATTCTGATTCTGAGTGGAATTCAAAGTTCTCAGAATGATCTACAAGACCCTGTGTGTCCTGGCCCACCATTGCCTCTCTGGTCTCATCTCCTACCCTGTGCTCCCCCAATTACTACATTCCAGCCACACACTTCTTGGATATGCCAGACATACTCCTTACCAGGCCATTGCACTTGCTGTTTCCTTTGCCTGGAACACTCTTTGCTAGGGATCCATATGGTTTCTCTCTCCCCTCCATCTAATTTTCACTCGGATGTCACTACAATGTGGGCTTTAGCACTTTTCAACGTCTAGCATACATTTTTACTAACCACCCCCATCCCCACCCCTGGATATAAGCAAGGGTTGGATTTTTTTCTCTTTATTCACTGCTGTGTTATTTTTCTGATAATTTGGAAGGTTTGTAGTCTGTAGTTCTTTAATTAGTTATCTTTATAACTTTAAGTAACTTCAATATTTTGTTTCTTGAGTGTTCACCTGTAGACCAGTATCTGTTGATTATGGAGGAAAAAAGAAATTAATGTGCTTATATTTACTCTCATCTGCCATCTTTCCCCTCTACCACAGGGCACAGATTGAATATGTTAGTGGTAGTTGTTAAAAGAATAATCTTTTTATAGTTGTTTTTATGGCTTTAAATAAATGTATTGTGCCCAAACCTCTATTATTACTTAGTTCATTTGCTTTGAATCCATACTCCTTCCAATATCCGAGAGGAGGAAATCAGCCTACTTTGCCTCCGCCTGTTACCTGTGGTTGTATTATCATTATTTCTACAGTGTCAGGATTTCTAATATTTACATTCAGTTCTATAACTTAAACGTCCCATTTATTTAAGTTTAGTTCTATATTTAAATGGAATCAGTGTTCTCCACTATCCTTTATTATCATGGCATTTGATTGATTGCATTTTGTTCTTAGGAACTGCCCATCCACAATAAGATAAGGGGCTTTTTCCGAAATGTAAGTTAATATAGTTTCCTTCATTGAGAAAGTCTTACTACCAAAAAAAAAGTCAGCTGAACTAAACAGCATTCTTAATGATCTATGTAATTACATTGGTGCAAGGTCTGCTGTTTTCATTGTAGACCAGTAACAGTTTGTGGATTAGCACTAGTCTGTGGACCACATTTTGAGAAGCACTGTTTACCTAGAGCTTAAAACATGCATTCTTGACTTTTCAAAGTCTAATATCCTCCCAAACAATGCAAGGCCTTAGCCCACTTTAACTCCATAACCCCTTTCTGTTGTATATACTGTTGTTGTCATGTATGTTAGTTCTGTATCTGTTCTAGACTTCACAGGCATTATTATTTTATACAGTGAGTATTAATTACCCACATATTTACCTTGAGTTGGTCTTTATTCCATCCTACATTTCCAAGCTCCCATCTTAGATCGTCTTTCTTCTACCTGAAGAAAGCCAATTAGTATTTTTTTAATTTAGAACTGTTTGGGGGCAGCCCAGTGGCGTAGTGGTTAAGTTTGTGTGTTCCGCTTTGGCGGCCTGGGGTTCACAGGTTCAGATCCCAGGTGCGGACCTACAGACCACTCGTCAAGCCGTGCTTTGGCGGTGTCCCGCATACAAAATAGGGGAAGATTGGCACAGATGTTAGCTCAGGGACAATCTTCCTAAAGCAAAAAGAGGAAGATTGGCAACAGATGTTAGCTCAGGGCCAGTCTTCCTCACCAAAAAATATATATATAAATAAATAAAAATACAAAACACTTTCTTGGCTATATAAAAATTAAATATTAAAAAAGAAAAGAACTGTTGGTAACATGATTTTTATTTTTTAGATTGTTTTATGTGCTAGATTATTTGAAAGTATCTTTATTTCATCTTTACTTTTGAAGGATCTTTTCATAGGGTATAGAATTCTTTCAGCACTTTGAAGATATTATAATAATATTATTAATTAAATATCTTAATATCCTGTGACTATAACTTAACCCTTAAAATTTACCACTCAATAAAAATATTTTTTAGCAGGCTTATGACCAGAAGAACATTAGGCGAAGAGTTTATGATGCTTTAAATGTGCTAATGGCAATGAACATAATTTCAAAGGAAAAAAAAGAAATCAAGTGGATTGGCCTACCTACCAATTCTGCTCAGGAATGTCAAAACCTGGAGGTAAGTGAGGAAAATCTGTTTATAGATAGTAGTTTGCTTTACTTTACATCAGAGGCATTTTAATTTAGAAATACAGTCACAATATTAAAATATTCCTAGTTGTCCATGAATACTATGTCATTTTTTTTAAACAGACTCTTCTATGTAGAATTTTAGAACTGGAAGGAGCTTTAGAGAGGCATAGTCTGGTTGATGTCCTGATGAAATGGGTGACATAGAAATTAAATGAGTTAATTTTTTACTGTTCTTAGAGAAGATCTTTATTTTATTCTAATTTAATTCTGAGCACTCTCCTAATAAATTTCTGGTGACTCATGTAATGGAAATGGTATCTTATTTGATGAAATGGTTGCTAATGCACCCCCCTAGAAAATGGGTCAAGCTGGCTGTTTATTTCTTGCATGTAAACTTTAACCTTTGACTCTAGAATCGGAGGCAACAGAATGGTGTCTCAGTTGTGTCTGTGTCAGAATGGATAGAGTGTTCAGCTTACATGAATTATGGGATGATGTGTGCATTGTTTATTCTGTTAACTTGAATCATTATAGAAAATCTTTCCTAAATGAGCATGTGCCCTGACATACTGTTTCTAAATTGGTTTGACATAATTTTACTGTCATGGGTATAAATGTAATAAACTGAGGTTAAATATAGCTTATAGAGATAAATATGGTTGATTTCCTGTTTTTATCGGTCCCTTTCCGCCAGAGCAAATAAAAAATTATTTGGTATTATCATACTTGTGGATGGAGGGAGGAACCAGACATTGATCAGAAGTTATAGAATAATGTTATTCGTATACTACAGTGGCAGTGTCCTCCTCTCCTTCGATAGAGTGGAATTTGAAGATCGTTTTAGTTACCAGTATTATTAAGCTGACAACAAAGACTCAATAAGCAAAAATCTATTAGGATCTACCATGTGCTTAACCAAAGATTATACAAGGCAAAAATCTCTGAACCTGAGGAGCTTTCATTTTACTTGAGGAAAGGAGAAACGTAAAAGGTGTTACCAAAAATGTGATTATTCCCCGGGCCAGCCCAGTGGCGTAGCAGTTAAGTGTGTGCTCCACTGCGGTGGCCTGGGGTTCGCATGTTCCAATCCCGGGCGCACACCAATGCACCACTTGTCAAGTCATGCTGTAGCAGCGTCCCATAAAAAGTAGAGGAAGGTGGGCACAGATGTTAGCCCAGGGCCAATCTTCCTCAGCAAAAAGAGGAGGATTGTTGACAGATGTTAGTGCAGGGCTGATCTTCCTCACCAAAAAAAAAAAAAAAAAAGAGAAATTATGCCTAAAAAGGGAGTGTGCTCAGATTCTCTGGAAAGGGAGATAAGGAGGGCTTTACTGAGAAAAAACATCCGTGTGCTCAGTCATGAGGGAGGAGTAGGAGTTTCCCAGGTGGTTTAGGGCAGGGAGGGCCTCCCAGGCAGGGCGCTGCATGGGCTGAGGCAGGCATCAGAAAGCATGCCCACAGCCGGGTGTGGCCAGAGCACAAGCAAGGGGAAGGGGGGTAGATTTCTAAGTGCTAAGCAGTTGGGACCTGATCCTATCAACAGTGGGAGGCTCTTGAAGAATTATGAAGAAGAGAGCTGATAGGATGTGTTCTAAAGGATCACTCTGCCAGTGGGTTGGAGGTTGAACTGGCAGGAAGATGAGTAGGGAAATTGAGGGGGTGGATTGAAGATGGTCTGAGTTAAGGCAGTTGGCAGTGAGGTTGGAGAGGGGTTTTGAGGTGGAATCAGTACAACTTGGTTGGATGTGGGGCCTGAGGGCAGGTAGGGCTTGGCCGTCACAGCTTCAGATGCATCCTACATGTTTCCAAATGTAGAAAGCCACACAGATGTTACAGTGAATCTTGAGTGATTTAGGATTAAAGTGTGGTAGTGGTTAGAGGAACAATGAGAGGAAACTTCTGATGCAGACTAGAGTAGGTAGGGAGCAAATAAGAAATACTCTGTTGGAGTAGATGAGAAAAATGTCTTATTTGATGTCGTTGACTTTTGCCCAAAGAGACAGTGAGGAGCTCATCTACAAGGAAATTCTGAGCCTAATATCTGTTTCCTAGGTAGTTGTAAGAGGAAAATAATAGTTGTTTGAAGCTGAGAACTTTGTCCCATAAGCATATTTCTTACTGCAGATAGGAATTGTGTATTGACTACGTAGGCTATCTGTATTAGCAGCTGTGCCCATTTAAAAGTCAGTTAAACTGAGATCTTAAGTGAGATCTTACCTCATTCTTGGTGGGGAGGGTAATACAGCAGAATAATTAATAATAGGGTCTCTGGAACCATATGGCTTAGGTTCAAGTTCTGGCTCTTGCCACTCACTAGCTGTGTGACCTTGGCCAGTGACTTAACCCTCTACGTCTCCCTGTCCTTACATGCAAAATGGGTAGCAGTACTGACCTCGTAGGGTTTTGTGCAGATGAGTTAAGATACTGTGTGTAAATGCTGAGTTGAGTGCTGGCACATAGAGTGAGTATTCACTACATGTTATCTATTACTCTGATTAGAACTTGAGTAGTAAATAGCAACAGGTACTGCATACCAAGTATTCGTTAAGTGAGTGGATTTCATTATTGATAACAGTTGGCACAATTCTGCTGTCTTGCTTGCTTGATTACCTCACCCTCCACCCCACAAAAGGTGTGATTTGCCTTTATTGATGTTGGTAGTTAAAATGGGGTTGAGTTTCTCTAAGGAAAATTCCTGATATCTCAGAATTAGGACCTGAAAAGTGAGCAGTACTTTATACTCCACGTATGCTCATGTTATTTCGTAACCTGTGTTTTAAAGATAGAGAAGCAGAGGCGGATGGAACGGATAAAGCAGAAGCGGGCCCAGCTGCAGGAACTGCTCCTTCAGGTAAAGATGCGGGGATGGCCTCATTACCTTCCCCACCTGTGTTCTGCCTCACCACGCACTTGCTTTTAGAGTCAGTATTTCTACTCTGGGTGCCTTTGAGTAGTGTCTGGTGGGACCACACTCGGGCAGGCTCCCCGACATCCGGGCTCGTCGCCGACCCTGTCGTCTGCCTTATAAGATGGTTCTGTCTTTTGCCATCATCAGGGCCCCACAGCAGCTCACCCGCCCATGTGTGACTTCTATTATGCAACAGTTTACTGTGGACACTTGTCCTTATTCTGAACAGAAACTGTCAGGAGTCTTTGTGTGTGTGTTTATTTTAGCCCTAATTTGGAATATCAAGAAGTAAGGCTAATTTTAGGTGCTTTGAGTAAAACAAATCCACCTGTAACACTTATTATTAAATGACAGAATAATATGAAGTGATTCAATAAGCTTTGTAGAAATACCAAAATCTAAAACGCATTTCTAAGAAAATTAAATTTTATAGTGTAATAAGGATCCGTATATTTATACTTTTTTGGATAATTGCCTAGGATTTGGATGATTTTTAAAAATATAATAGAGCCCTTGTATAAAATCATGTGAGGTAAAATCAGAGGGTAGATGGACTTTTTTTTTCTATTTTTGGTAATTGCAGTTGGTGTAAAAATTCACTTTGAGCAGTACAGTGGGGCCATTTTCAGTCCAGTCAGAAAAACTTTGTAAAGTGAGCCAGAGCATCTTGATGCTTTTGCTTTCATCAGCAGATTGTCTTTATATGAAATGCTTTCAACCCATCATAAAATCCACTCTGATTTGGACAACTGTAGGCCCTGTGTAATTTTTGGTGTAAGCCACTTTTCAGAAGTAATGGTAGCAATAAGTTACCAAATATTGTAGCAGGTGTTTTTCTAAAATACTTTATCTAATGAACAGAATATTTTAAGTATTCTTAAATATTCCAGATTTTTATTTTTCACTTTCTAGAAGCTTATATTTGTTTTTCTTTCACATTCATGTGTGAATCAGGCCAGAGAAGACCACCTCGCCCTTCCAGAGATGTGGGTAGGATCTGAGAAGGAAGGAGGGGAGGAAACAGGACCAGGGCGGGGGAGTTGTGGCAGGTGGAGCAGAAGCTTTCCGAGCGTAGGAAGCCCCAGGGGGATGTTCCATCCTGATGAGGACGTTTCTTTCTTTCTTGCTGTGTTCTGTCTGCTTTTCACACTGAACCCTGTGGTACCTACCTCAGGAGCTACCGCTGGAGCAGGCATTTTATGTATTTCTCATATTGGATTCCCAAATAAGATTTTATTTAAAGAGAGTGTTCTGCAGCTTAAAAAAAACTTGGAAGCTGACAGTTTACTCCTGTGCTCCTTCCTGTGGAGTTCTGCCTTCTGATAGACCTGCCAGGCACTCGCCTCTCCCACCTACGCTGTCACCGCCTTCCCCCAGCTGCTTCTCTCTTGTCCCTGCACAGGTATCTGCGGAATTTCCCCACCAACTCACCGTCCCTAAGCTGTGTGCTGGCCTGCCTCGCATTTCCTCAAAACCTTCATGGAACGTTTTGAAGCTTGATTTTTGGCATATGTTATTTTTTAAAAAGCTGTTGGGGGCCGGCCTGGTGGTGTAGTGGTGAAGTTCGCGTGCTCCACTTCTGTGGCCCGGGGTTCTCAGGTTTGGATCCCAGGCATGGACCTACGCACCACTCATCAAGCCATGCTGTGGTGGCATCCCATATACAAAATGGAGGAAGATGGGCACAGATGTTAGCTCAGGGACAATTTTCCTCAGCAAAAAGAGGAGGATTGGCAACAGATGTTAGCTCAGAGCCAGTCTTTCTCACACACACACACAAAAAATATGTTGAGCAGTGTGCCTGTAGTTATCTGCTTGTTTATCAGAAAGAATGGTGCTGGGCAAGATGGCCCTCATATGTGCAGGACTTTCCCATCTCTAGATGGCCAGCACAAAGAATGAAGTTGAATATTTTTCCCTTGCTCATCTATATACTAGGAACGTTGTATTTTTTTAAGTCCTAAATTTCTTTTCCTCTGCTGTCTCTCAAACCAAATGTTTATAGAAGATTTCAACTGAGGGGCAACCTAGCCATCAATATTTATAAGAGTAGGTATCTCTAAACATTAAAAAGAAACTCTAAGTCTAACTGAAAATGGCGACTTATGGTCTTCTGGTGACACACAGCATATCCTCCCAGTGTTTCGTTTTTCCCTTTCATCAAATAACGTTTATGAAGTTATCACAGAAAGAAAATTAAACAAGTTGTCCTTGAACACTAATAATTCGCCATGGCTTAGCTAGCTTAATTTGTTGACAAGTTAATATCACAACTCGCTGACATCACATGACACGGGTAAGCTTTACTTCCATGTCACCAGCTCTCTTGTCCTTGGTAACTAGGGGAGGAATGGTGCGAGTAGATTATACCTGTAGATAATCCAGATAGCCTACTTTTGTCTATATGATTGTCCTTTCCAGCCCTTAAGCCTTTTCCAGAGCTGTTCAGCCTCTGAAATAGATGTTAATAAGCCTGGAAGAGAACAAAAGGCTGAAGGAAATCAAAGTGCAACAAATAAGGAAATTAGTCCAAAACAAATGCGAGGTGATTTTTTTTTTAACTATCAAAATAACAGTATGTTATTACTGCTTTCTTTACCTGAAAAATCTTTGATGCTATTAAATGTACACAGTATTAAACAGTGAATCATAAATATATAAGAACTCTTATCACTGTATATATCCTCCCCATACTGAGGCCCTCCCCTGGTGCTAGGGCCACAAAGCTGGGCAAAGTTTGGGAGCATCTCCCCAGATGCTTTTTCTAGTAGGAGGGAAGAGAAGGCAGGCAGAAGAATTCAAACATTTTATTCTTCTTCTTAGTTTTACAGTTTCAGCGTATTTTTTCCCCAATATGAAGTGAATTAAGCAATGCAAGATAGCCTTAGTTCTTTAGCAGCAGAAAATAATGAAGAAGTATAACTTAAGTAAAGTTTGATAATCGTATTGATAGTGATAGTTTTTTTATAGTGATTGATATTGGATAGTGATTTTTGGACATACTGTTAGGGCTAGAATAAATTGGTGCCCCTTTTGTTTTGTGCATTTTAAGAATAAATGTCACTTTCTAGGGAGATAGCACTCAGCCATTTTAAGATAATAATAATCTTTATCAAACTTCAGTTAAGGCCCAGAACCTAAAATAAAAAATCCTAGGATAAGATTGCTAAAACATAGAAAATAACTTCATCACTACTGGGTAAGAAGATGGAACAAGCTGATGAAAGGGAATGAGGGGCTCTGACTTGAGGAGCTTTAAAAACCAGTGTCTGTTTCATGAGCAGATGAAAAACTTGAGCTGCGTAAGATCTCTCTAGCTATGGAATTCCATGACACATTTGCCTTAGTAAAGGCGGGGCGCAGTCACTTTCTTTGACTTTTGACTAATGGTTGTAACTAAAAGTAGCAGCAAGATTCAGTATAAATAAAGATCCAGGCCTTGATAAATGTTACAATCAGTGCTAAGCCTCAGTTTCCTTATCTGGAAGATGTCAGGTTGGGGGAGGGTTGGGCCAGATTCCAACTGTGCCCTAAGGATGCTGAGGAATTCTGCAGAGATACCCTAGGAACCAGAGCCGGGAATGAGGGAGAGCTGGCAGGTTTCAGGACTCCTAGCCCCATTGCAGCCGCCAGAGCAGTGCTGCTTTCATCTGCTTTATATAGTAGGTGTCCCATAAGATTGCATTTGAAGAAAGTGTTCTGTGGCTTTATATAGTTTGTGTATCCCTGGGCTAGACAATCTAAAAGAGTTATTTATTTATTTATTTATTTATTTATTTTAATAATTTTATTTATTTATTTATTTTCCCCCAAAGCCCCAGTAGATAGTTGTATGTCATAGCTGCACATCCTTCTAGTTGCTGTATGTGGGTCGCAGCCTCAGCATGGCTGGAGAAGCGGTGCGTCGGTGCGCGCCCGGGATCCGAACCCGGGCTGCCAGCAGCGGAGCGTGTGCACTTAACCACTAAGCCACGGGGCTGGCCCTAAAAGGGTTATTTAACCCTAAGCTCGCAGAAGTCTGTGTTAGATGAATGGAAAACGAAAGTTCACTTGGTGTCACTCTCTGTGTGTCACTCTAAGAAGAGTCACAGGTGTCACTGGACTCCCTCCCAGATTTGTAAGATCCTGTTTCTATGAATAATGGAAACCATGGGTCCCATTATTTTCATCAAGATGATGTTAGACACCATTTAAATGTATATTTTTTCACTTGAAGTATATTTATTGAGTTGGATCATTCTAATCTTTTTCTTAAATGTTTTAATTAACTCAGGTGGAAAGCCTCTTTAAACGCTCTAATTTTAAACTATTTTAAATGTATTTATCTTAATTCATTTAATTCCAACTCACTTATCCACATTAAATGACCTGTTCATTTTATTGATCATTACAGCAAATCGCTTTCAAAAACCTGGTGCAGAGAAATCGGCGAAATGAACAGCAGAACCAGGGCCCTCCAGCTCTGAACTCGACCATTCAGCTGCCATTTATAATCATCAACACAAGCAGGAAAACAGTCATAGACTGCAGCATCTCCAGTGACAAGTGAGTGAGAATGGGGAGAGGCAGGGCTGGCCTTCTGCTGACAGATTCCTGTCATTCGCACAATAAAGAAGGGTGTACTCCATGGTCTGAGCCCTCCAAAGCTGGCCTCCCTGGGTCACATGAGACACCTTTTCAAACCTGGAGTGCTGTTATCTGCTAGTGCGCTTCATCACTCACCCTCTGCAGCCCCTGCCCTGTGCCGGGCACTGTGCTGCCTGTGTAATATGCGTAGTGGTGCCTGGACCCGGTCCAGGGTGTGCGTGGGTGTGCATGGATGTGGTAACTCTGGGCAGGTAGCTGCAGTAGACCATCCATGAGGGTCTGGGACAAGGAGGGGTCACTAGTGAGTCACTATCACAGTTTATTGTGGAAATATTTTAGATCAACATGTGGCATTAAAGCAATTATTTCTCGGTTTTGCTCTATTGTAGTTGAGTGTGCTTCTGTTTGTTAATGAATCAACAGACATGAAAATGGTAGATGTGTTCTCTGCGTTCTTTTTTTCTTATTTATCTTATAACTGCAAGTCGGTACCTTTTGACCCCCTTCACCCACCACCCACCCCCTGCCTCTGGCAACCGCCAATCTGTGCTCTGTGTTTATGAGTTCAGTTTTTTTATATTCCATATGTAAGGGAGATCATACAGTATTTGTCTTTCTCTGACTTACTGCACTTAGTATAATGCCCTCGAGGGCCATTCATGTTGTCTCAAATGGCAGGATTTTGTTCTTTTTTATGGCTGAATATTCTGTGGTATATATATTTACACATATGCCACATTTTCTTTATCCAGTCATCTGTGGATGGACATTTAGGTTGTTTCTATGCCTTGGCTCTTGTAAATAATGCTGCAGTGAACATGGGGGTGCAGATATCTTTTCGAGATGGTGATTTTGTTTCCTTCAGATATATTTCCAGAAGTGGAATTGCTGGATCATATGCTAGTTCTATTTTTAATTTTTTGAGGAACATCCATACTGTTTTCCATAGTGGCTGCACCAGTTTACATGCCCACCAACTTTTTTGAACATTTTAACTAAGATAGATGGTAATATTCATCATAGCAAGTGAGAAGTAGCAGGTTTTAAAATATAGAATTCATTCATAATTTATTTTATCCTTCATGGAAACAGCAGTGGTCTCCAAGCTGTGACCAGTATCATGAGACAGTTAAGGATATAGGGTGTAGGGTGAGACAGACCCAAGTGTGGGTTGTGGTTCTCCCATTTACTTGCTCCAAAGCTCTGTTTTCCAAAGAACAAATGAGGATGATACCAGGGCCTCTGTCACTTCTTAGCCTTGTTGTGAGGATTACATGAGATATTGCCTATAAAGGCTCTGACTCAAGGCAAGCACTTTATAAACATTAGCTGCTGTTACAAGGAGTCAGCATATAATTTATCATCTGAATTGGGATACATTTGAAAGCAAAAAAGGTCTCAGTAATTACATGAGTACCACAGGCATAGCCCAGGGACTATCCCAGGGAGATGGGAACTCAGGTTCCCTTAGAGCTGTAGCATTACCCTTGGGCTGTACCATCTCTTGTTTTCCCGCTCTTTTCTCTGGCAGTGGTACCTCCCTGTCTGTCTTGATTGCATACAGAGATTCTGGGTCACTTAAATTAAGAAGGCATTAAAAAAAGAAGATGAGGGGCCAGCCCGGTGGCACAAGCAGTTAAGTGCGCACGCTCCACTGCAGCGGCCCAGTGTTCGCCGGTTCAGATCCCGGGTGTGCACCGACACACTGCTTGTCAGGCCATGCTGTGGCGGTGTCCCATATAAAGTGGAGGAAGATGGGCATGGATGTTAGCCCAGGGCCAGTCTTCCTCAGCAAAAAAAGAGGAGGATTGGCGGATGTTAGCATAGGCTGATCTTCCTCACAAAAAAAAGACGAAAAACAGGAGGAATTTCAAAAGTATTTGAAAATTAAGACTACAGACACAATTAGAAATAGTAGGGACCATGCAGGCTGCAAAGTCAGAAGATGCGTGTTTCAGTCCTTCCTCTAGCTATCTAATTTCTTAATCTCTCTGAGATCTCATTCCTTCCTCCGTAAAAGTAAGAATTGTAGTATTTAACTGGCTGGTTTTCGAATGTTACAGATGAATTCGTAAAGGACCCAGCCCAGTTGTCAGTAAATGGTAGATGTCTGTATCATTATTCACACACTTGCAAATTCTTTGCAAAAACCTATGTCTGAAAGGACTGTTAACATATTCTCGTAAAACTGAGAATTATAGAGAATGGATAACATATTTGCAGAAAAAAAACTTAGAATTGTAGTTACTCTGTCTAGTTAGTCTCTTGTTTTGTGGGGAATTATTAAATTCTCTTCTTTGGTTAGTCTTCTAAGTCTAAAAAGAGTAGCAGGAAAATTGGAACCATTGGCCTAAGGGAATTAAGGATTCTCTTCACCCCAGGCTGGGGTCTGGAAGGTTCCATCCTTGGGGGTTACTGACTCAGGCCCTTTCCTGGCCCTCCGCTGAGTGGAGAGGAGGCGGCTCTGAGCAGCTTGTAGGAGCTCGTTAGTCAAGGCAGGTCCTGAAGCCTGTCTATTAGTTACTTTGGTGATGTAGTCTTTTCACCTTAGTTAGCCAGGAGGCTTTCCCACAGTGAGGATTAAAGTCACAAAACCATCTGCTTTTAACATATGCCTGGAATCATCCTTGTGGCAGCCACATACTTAAGATGTTTTGTGTTTTTTCCTGAAAATTTGTTGATGTACTTTATTCAAATTCACATACTTCAAATAAAAATGGCATTTTGCTTTAAATTCTAACAATTGCCCTGATCTAAGATCTAGCATAAAAAGTTTTACCTTCACATGATTTTAGTAGAGGGAATTTCATGACAAGGTAAACCACCATTGTCCCAGAACACTCACCTGCCCTGTGTCCCTGCGGGTCTGAGGCCTGGGGGTGAAGGTGCCCAGGGCTGGCCTAGGGGTCACAAGCACTGTCTCTTGCTACAGTGGACTCTTTATTGAAAGAGGGCAGCTGGGCATCCTGATTGGTACTTCTCAAGAACATTTGGAAATGTGCTCATGTTACATGTGACACCTTTTTCTTAAGACATTTCATTCCTTAGGCCCTCAAGACAAGATGTGGGGATTGGTTCGTTTGTGAAAAGTCTGCCCTTTATTGCGTATCTGAAGTATGCTGTAGTTAACACTTGACTCATGAAAATGAAGTAAGCGTCCAAAATGTTTTTTCTTCAAACCTAATAGGCCAACTCGTAGTAGAGATGTCATATATTAAACTGGAAAGGCTTTCTTGCTGTTTTATCTTTTGTGACAAAGCTGTAGACAGCTTTGAGAAGTACTGGATCTAGACCAAAATGTCTGTCTCCCGTTTGCAACAGCCTGATGAGGACTGAAGTTCATGGACTTCTGTTGTCTGTCACAGGAAAATTGTTTTAATTGGGAAGTGGTTTATTTGAGACGTTGTTGCCCTGAACACAGCAGAATGTCTCTTCCTGCTCTAAACAGTAACAGTTTCTAGTACTATAGCTCAACGCGGGCCCTCATTCTTGTATGTAAAGTGCAGAGCACAGAACTACTCAGACCTCCCCAATGCCACAAAAAACCCCATCCTAACTGTGTTTCCTGATGCAGGTTTGAATATCTTTTTAATTTTGACAACACCTTTGAGATCCATGACGACATAGAAGTGCTGAAGCGGATGGGGATGTCCTTTGGCCTGGAATCAGGCAAGTGCTCTCTGGAGGATCTGAAACTTGCTAAATCGCTGGTGCCAAAGGCTCTAGAAGGTTATATCACAGGTATGTTAACTAATGCTCTCACATGTCATCCCTGATAAATGTCAAATCCTAACTTGTTAAAACCTTTCTCATAGAAAATTAAAGTCCACTGTTAGCCCACCCTCGATTCTGCACCCGTCCCCACCCCTCTGAATGTAACCATTCTCTTGAATTTCTTGTTCATCATCACTTGCTCTTCTTTTGGGATAAAAACACAGACAAGTAAACTGGAAACAATTAATTGTTTAGTTTTGCCTACTTCTGACCTTTCTATAAATGGAATCATAGTGATATGTACATTCTTTGGTGATTTGATTTTTTTTTCGCTCAACACCGTGTTCTTTAGCTTTGTCCACATGATTCAATGTAGCTGTAATTCATACACTTTACTGCTGTATAGAATTCCATTATATGAATGTCTCACAATGCATTTGTTCATTTTACTGATGATAAGCCTTTAGTTTTGTTTCCAGTTTCTTCAGATTAAAAGACAGTGCTACTTTGAACATTCCTTTAACTATACCCTAGTGACCCTGTGCAGGTGTATAGAGTGATGCTGGGTCAGAGGCGGGTGCATCTTCACCTTTACCAAATGATGCCAAGGGTTTTCAATTTGATTTTACCAAGTTACACTCTTGCCTGCAAAGTGGAAGTGTTCTGTTTTCCCAGTCAGGTGGATGTGAAATGGTATCATTGTAATTTTTTTTTAATTGAGATTTAATTCACATGCCATAAAATAAACCATTTTAAAGTGTACAATTCAGTGGTTTTTAGTATATTTACAAGGTTGTGCAGTCATCACCACTATCTAATACTAAAACATGTTTATCACCCCAAAAAAGAAACCCCATATGCGTTAGCAGTCATGCCCTATTCCCCCATTCCTCCCAGTTCCTGGCAACCACTAAGCTAGAATGGATGTGTCCATTGTGGACATTTCATATAAACAGAATCATACAATATGTGGCCTTTGTGACTGACCGCTTTTACTTAGCATAATATTTTCAAGGTTCATCCATGCTGTAGCTTGTATCAGTACTTCCTCCATTTTTATTGCCATTGTAAGGGTATTCCACATGTTGTGTATCATTTTGTTTACCATTCACTAATTGGAAGACATTTGAATTGTTTCCACTTTTTGGCTATTATGAATGGTGCTGCTGTGAACATTCTTGTACATGTTTTTGTGTGAACATAAGTTTTCATTTCTCTTGGGTGGATACCTAGGAGTGGAATTGCTGGGTCGTATAGTAACTCTATATTTAACATTTTGAGGAACTGCCAGACTATTTTCCAAAGCAGTTGTACCATTTTACAGTCCCACCAGCAATATTGGAGGGTCCGGTTTCTCCACATCCTTCTCACCACTTGTCATTGTCCATCTTTTTTATTCTAGCCATCCTAGTGGATGTGCGGTGGGGTTCCACTGTGGGTTTGACTTGCATTTCCCTAATGACTGATGACGTGGAGCATCTTTTCATGTGCTTATTGGCCATTTGTGTATCTTCTTGAAGAAATGTCTGTTCAGATCCTATGCTCATTTTGCCATTTTGGTTTGGTTATTTGTCTTTTTACTATGCGTTATAAGAATACACTGAGTATACTTGAAAACAAAAACACTATGTTTTGCATGTTCTGTAAGTCAGATTTTTTTTCACTAATTCAGAAATCTTTATGATTGTCCTAATCCCTAAGACTATGGCATATAATTATATTCTGCATATATAATTTGGATATATAAACAATGCTTTTGCCTTTGCTCTTGCCAGTTTCCTTCATTTATAAATACTACCACCTAGAATTTCATGTCACTTTTTAAAGGCATTTTAATATTGTTTCTAAGGTATATTAAATCAAATATAAGCAAAGAAGTAGTTTTTATTTTGTTTTGTTTTATGGTTTTGGCCTTTTGGTTACAATACAAGTCTGTCGATTGAGATTTGGTTTCTAGTGGGTTTAGTTTTTCAGTTGGCACCATCCACCTCCTGCAAGTGTGACCCGCCCCGTCCTCCCCACTGTTTCCCAGAGCAGGACCTGCTGTTTTATTAGCAGCCCAGTCGTACTGGCAGTCCAGCAGGGTCTGAATAAAGGGCTTCCTCAATAAATCACCAGAACTTTATTTTAGCTTATTCTCAGTGAAAAGGCTCAGGGCAATGAGGCAGGCTCTGTGGTTTTGATCTCCTCGTGGCCTCATTTGCAGACGGGGCTACAGACTTTCTGGTTAGTTCAAAAGAAGAAACGTGTGCCTTTAGTGTGCAAAGGGACAGAATGGCTCTTGAATAAGATTGTGAGAACCACTGTGTGGATCCCATGATAATGTGAAAGAAATGTAGGCTTTTCAAAGCCATTGTGAAAAGAAAATCTAATGTGTTATGCTCACAAACAAGTAAATAGCTGTGTTCTGACGGAAAGTTTCCATATATACTAATTAATATTCAGCACAGGATTCTGGCTTAATTTTATCTTGTACAGACTTGTTCTTATTTAGTGTATTTAAAGTCTGCTATTCTTCTTAGAATTGAAGTTCTTTTTTTTCACAGCTGCCTTAGCCTGTGAAGAAAAAGGTTCACAAGACCATTCTAAAATTAATGTAGTCATTCAGTTTACTTTTTTCCTACATGGGAAGCCTCTCACTTGGTCCGACAGTGCCAGGATAGCAGAGTTCCCAATCCCAGTACACATAGTTTTGTAGTTACTGTGCAAAAAAAAAAGAAACTATTTCGATTAAATGTAGTAAAAGCTCATTTTGGCAAATTATATTTTCTGAGCATACATTTGTCCTTAGCTTATAATGAAAGTCAAAGAATTTAATTTTAGGTGTGTATTTGTAACATATCTACCACCTATTTTGTAGACTCACTGTTGAAAGAGACTGTGCTCTTTCGTTCAGTGACATTTAGATCTTATATGTTCCAGTCACTGCCTTTATGGAGCTAACATTCTAGATAGGGAGACAAGTATTAAACAAGTAAAATTACAATAAGAATTGATCAAGGTTGTGATAGAAAAATATGGTATATGCATAGAAAATACGGAAAACAAGATTGCAAGGATATACCCAAAGGATTACTAAAACAGTAATGCCTGTCTAACCCTCATTAAAAACCTGACTGTATGTGACCTTTCAAAATAAGGGCTGGTTTGAATTATAAAGCAAAGGCTACCAGGAAAAAGAATCAATCTTTGATGAGTAATAGCACTGAGTTCACCAGAGGGCCCTTGAAAAGATGGTGCATTGGAGGTTTTGGCAAAAACGTGTCCTTCTTACCTAAGATGTTTCTGATTGAACTTTCTCTTTACCTAGTCCTGGCTTTGGCTGTTAACACCCCAGTCAGAGTCTTCCGTGGGCAGGCCAGCAGGTGTCCAGGAATAGTACAGCTGTCACTGTACTCAGAGAGCTGCCCTCTTGAGGTCTTATTTAAGAAAAAAGAATGGGAGGGCCGGCCCCGTGGCTTAGCGGTTGAGTGCGCGCGCTCCGCTACTGGCAGCCCGGGTTTGGATCCCGGGTGCGCACCGACGCACCGCTTCTCCGGCCATGCTGAGGCGGTGTCCCACATACAGCAACTAGAACGCTGTGCAACTATGACATACGACTATCTACTGGGGCTTTGGGGAGAAAAAAGGAGGAGGATTGGCAATAGATGTTAGCTCAGAGCCGGTCTTCCTCAGCAAAAAGAGGAGGATTAGCATGGATGTTAGCTCAGGGCTGATCTTCCTCACAAAAAAAAAAAAAAGAAAAAAGAATGGGAAAGAGTCTGTGATTGGTTTAATTTGAATTCTTTCTTGCTGTAGTCTACCTTCCTGTATTTGTTTTCCTGCTGTGTTCTAGAAATTTCTTTTTTCCAAGCTGAAGAGGACCTGGGTTCTTCCCAGGACAGGGGACTTGTCTGCTGTGATTTAGAACAGGCTCCTCCCCTTCGGGTCTGTGTTCCCTTCAAGCTGCGGCAGTAGCAGCTACAGAACCTGCAGCGCCTACACCTCCTGTTTTTGTTTTTTCTGTAGATATCTCCACAGGACCTGCCTGGTTAAATCAGGGGCTACTCTTGAACTCTACCCAGTCAGTTTCAAATTTAGACCTGACCACTGGTGCCACCTTGTCCCAATCAAGGTACGTATTTTTTCAGGGCTAGAAAGGCAGGCCACAAAGCACTGACCCTTCTGGGGGGAGAGCCCGCGAGTCACTGCCGGCACAGGCCCTGAGCTCGCCAGTGGCACCTCCTTCCCCAGGTTTCTATTCCTCTGTTTTACAAAGCTTAAACGTGCCACGTTAACGAGCCTGTGTGTTTTTAATTGTTTGCTAGTGTAAACCAAGGGTTATGCTTGGATGCTGAAGTGGCCTTAGCAACGGGGCAGTTCCTTGCCCCAAACAGTCACCAGTCCAGCAGTGCGGCCTCTCACTGCTCTGAGTCCCGAGGTGAGACCCCCTGTTCGTTCAACGACGACGATGAGGAAGATGACGAGGAAGATTCCTCCTCCCCAGAATAAAGACAGGAGAAGACCCACGTTTTAGTATTGATGCTCATGTGTGTTTTTAGTGTGAGCTCTTGTTTTTGAAATGACTGCTTCAGTCCTTGCCTTTGTTTGCACTGTGTGTTCAGTGAAAACTAGGGAAACACAATAAGCAAATCACACGAAGGCTGAGATGATAGAGATGAAGGTTACCATAGCGTGAATGAGAACTCGGAACAACGGAGCATAGATCACACCGCAAACAAAGCGTGTTTTCTGAGGTGATAGAGGGGATGGTCCCTGAAGAACTGGCAGCATGAGTGAAGCTCAGTTTTCTCTCGTGAGGGGGAGCATTGCGTCCCCCCGCATGTAACCCTTCGTAGAGTTGAGATTGCTCCCGTGAACAGTTCTGGGTGGTCTGGGTTCTCGTGTTCTCTCCCTTGCCTGGGTCGCCTTTACAAGGCGGAGATGCCCCTGAACAGTTCCTAGTGGGGGAGTTGTACAGGGTGGGTGTAGGTGGCGATCCTTGTGGGCAAAGGAGCACAGATTAAACTGCTGAACTAGTTGAAAGTCTAGTCGAGGTGCTTTACGCATCAGCTGCCTTAGACAGCTTCTAGAAAGGAGCGAGCGCTACTTCTTAAGTACTTAAGTGACATTTAGAATAATTTATAGTAAAACTGAAATTATCATTATTAGCCAATGCAGTGGTGCATAGAATTTTCTAGGGCTACTTCTGGAAGCCAAAATAGAATAGCATTTCCACGTGCATTAAATACTTTGCCAGCACTGCCTTTCGCCAGCATTCTAAATCTGGAGTTTTACAGAGAAGGAACTTGTATCTATAGTTTTAATCAAAGCTATGCATTTCTTACAGCTTTATCATTTAAAACAAAAACAAAAAAATTCCTATGACCGAATTGCTTGCTTACAGTTCCCTGCAGTAATTGTATGATTTCACCTAGTGTGCAATTTGTGAAAATGAACCAAATGTCATTACTCTTGTCTTAAAAGTCTATTTCAAGAACCTGAACAGCAATGTTTTCCTGTACATGTCATCTTTTGTACATTTTCATTAATCAAAATGACCTTATTGGGTTTATTCCTGGGTAAATTGCATTTCAGACTAACTCGATATTGAGTGTTTCATAGAAACACCAAAAAATGTTGAACACTCCAAATCATTGGATTTGTAGTAGTGCAGTGAATAGTATGTTATTTCATAGCCAAAGATGTGGCTCAGAACACTGCAGTGGTGTGTCCACAGTTACTGCCCCTCTGAAGAGGGGGTGTGGAAACATCTGCCACCACGGCCAAACCCCAACTTAATTTCACAGGAAGGGCTTGCAAAGGAGAAAATAACAATGGAAAGTTGACTCTGAATCTTTGACTGGAATCATTGGGATGTCCCCTAGCTTACGCATCTAGCATCTGTGGGCCCAGCCCCGAGCTTGGCCCAAATTGGTTCTTTTCTAAATCCCATGGGGACAGTGTGGGTGCCTTATGATGCCTTTTTAAAGCTCTGCCACTCTGCTTACAGTGAGCTGGAGGTGTAAGATTTGGCTGACCTACAATTTTTCTTAAGGTCATAAAACTAATACACAAGAACATACAACTTTACTTAAGTTCTTTGAGACAAAATTCGTTGTGTCAGAAATAAGCCATAGTGCAGACTCAGCGTGTTCACGGGGGCAGAGAGGCAGTTTTTAGAGAATTCTGTCCAGCCTGAGTCTCTGGGGCACCCCTCTTAGGTGGGCAGGTGGGAGGAGTCCAAAACACTGCAGAGGCCACAGCGGGTCCCCATGGCCTCAAGAGACATTTCTGACCTGCTCAGTCTGGTAAAACCCGATTCCCCTCCAAACTGTCCTTCAAGAGGCTGCTGCCTCCTTTACTAACCCCAGCCTTTCTCATCCCTGTACTTGAAGGGGGCTCAGCAGGGACCTGGAGAGGCCAAGAGTGACAGCTGGCTCTTTAGTCTCGAGAATATTGTACTCCGGGTCCCGAGACCTGTGCGTCAGCATTCACGACAGGTGCATTAATCATGACCGTTCCTCTACCGACTAGCAGAATCCTTGCCTGAGCCCTTGGGACCCCCTCCCTTCTCTGCTCTCGCTCTCTGCTGCGATAGTGCTTTAAATTGATAAAATATGGTTTAAAAAAAAGCAACCAAAGACTCTTATCATTATTGGTGCCCCATCATTGGCCGTGCCAGCCATGAGTCTGTGGTGTTTGATGGGCAGTGGCCTCCGTTCCTCAGTAACGTGTTTGGGTTGCTGCTGAGGACATCTAGTAGTCACACTGTGGTCACCTTGCACGTCGCCGGTGTAAAGCCTTACCCGAGGAGAAAACTAGGTAAGATGTTTAGAAAGATAAATTCTGTTGTTGTTCTGTATCTCCCCTAAACAGATTTATCTGGGTCTAAAGTTCAGCACTTAGAATTTCATATAGAAATCAAAGTGAAAACATGTTAGGAAATCGTGGTTACAGCATCCAGGCTTCTGTATAGGAGTAGCACTTGGGGTTACTTGCATGTGCACGCACACACAGACACGCGCACACACACGGACACGCTCGCACACACAGACACACACAGACACCCCTCCAGAGGGTGCTGGTCACACTCTGGGGAGCTCAAGAGGCCTTTTCCCCCTGAGGGTCAGTTAGGCGTTGCCCTTTCAAGTGCGTAGTGTCCTTGAGTCAGTAAACCCTTGCTGCATTTAGCACTTGCACAGGTGGCCGGCCACATTTGACCCCTAAGTGGCAAGGGGAACCCTGCCAGGGTCCACGGCAGCGCTCAAGGCACCCAGGGCCCGCCAGGCTTCCCTTCTCCCGTCCCCACTGTGCATCTGTCTCCTCCTCTTGATCTTGCACGTGACGACAGGCAACAAGAGCAGCCTCAGTGAGTGTTGATCTAAACTGTGCCTTACGATCACGGAGGACTTTGGGGAGGGGCAGGAAAGGAGGCGCTAACGCTGATTCCTCACCTCAGCGCTGCCCACTGCCCCAGAAAACTGTACAGAAGATGACCACATGTTTTGTTTCCTTCAATTGAATTCTGTATAAAAGTGGTGGGGAGAACACTGTGTAGTTTCTGCTGTTTTACCAGGATGAACGAGAATAACTCCCCTTGCCAGCAAAATTTCTTGTTGTAACCATACTCTGCCATACTTGAAAAATAATGCCAGAGTCGGTCCTCAAACACAAATTAGCCCCTATCAGATCATTCAAATGGAGGTACTTCACAAAGGGGTGACTTCACAAAGGGGTGGTTCAGGTTAGCCATGCAGACATCTGTAAGTCGGCCCTTTGCTAAATCACAGCTCTGTTGACTACTTGGGTCATTGCTCCAAGTACAGATGTAACTTGGGCACCTGTGACATCAGAACATAGAGGGGTGGGTCTTGCTGGGGGCAGGGTTAGCAAAGGAGGGGAACGGCCTCAGCTGTTTCTACCATAACCGCAGCCAGAGAGAAGCCTGTTTAGCTTCATCAGTGATTCTCTTCAAGGGCCCTTTAAATACCTATCTCGCTCCCTCCCCTCAGGCATATAAAAGAAGTGCCCTACCCAACAAACCTGTGAGGTAGACCCTAAGGCTGTGCTGCCTTAGTGGTAAGTACGGAGTGGGGCTTGGATGGTGAATGTAGAGTTAATCTGTCAGTAAGTACTCGAGTGAATACAGGACAGAGAACATTCAGATTGATCAGTGGTACGGAAAAAACGACAGGGTAATGGGACAATGGGGGAAAGGCTACGTTGAGGGTGGCCAGGGAAGGCCCCCTGAGAAGGTGACATTTGTCCTGAGTCAGACAATTGACAGACGGATGTGTGTCGCATGACACGCACTTGGAGTCTGCTCAGTTCCAGGGGCCGCACTGTTCCAGTTTTAAGCATACGTTTTGGAGTCAGCTAAGGATTTTTAAGATTTAAAAGAAAACCAAACTTAGCTACCAGTAGTACCCATAAACCAAGAGAAGATTCTAACACCCATGAAGTTCTCACTATTAGCTTGGTTACCTTCCAGTTGAACCTACACCATAAAAAAGTAATCACTTTTCTAGGTGTTTTCTTCTAGTTTTTACAAGTTATTGGATACATAAAGACTGACTTTTTATATTAGATAGATAAAAGGTAATCTTTTATTCTTTTATTCTGCGTATGGTCAGGCTTTAGTGGAGTGAAAGACTACTTCAGGCCCCTTGTCCCCAATAGGTTCCTCATTTTCATGCACCCAAAGCAATGTCCCCAAGGACTGATGATCCTCATGTCTGTCTATTGAAGACCCACGGTGTGTGCCAGGGGCCTGCACCATGCCATGTGAGGGCCTCCCTGCCTCCAGTTCACGGTCTGTACAATGTTCAGTTCATTTAATTTCCACTCAGGCCAAACACTGTTACTCAGAAGAAGACCAAAGTTTGCTTAAGATTTTACCTTTTTAAAAAAGTTCAAGCCGAACGTCCACCCAAATTATAATATTTCTCAGGAATTAGCCCCCCTCCATAATCCAGATATCTCTGAAAAGTTATGCCTGGATAACCGTTGGGATCCAGTTTTCGCACATACATCTACACTCACGCTCTGCTAAGGAAGAAAAAGTGAAGGACACAAAACTTAGGCCCTCCGGTTACACACCGGGAGTCCCTGACAAGTGCAGGAGCTTAACTGGCAGCAGCTATCCGTTCACCACGGTGTGGGGACAGGAGCAAATGTGTTCATGTACCGTGTAGTCCATGCAGCTCTTCTCTCAGGCAAGGTAAGATCATGTGCCATTCTTACATAGCCTTTGCTTTACAAAAAGGCCTGTAGGGCTCAATGCCACCTTGACGCCATGCTAGTCCAGCAGATGGGACTCTGGTCCTCCCTGCTTGTAGCTGCACTGGAAGCCAATGTAGCTGAAAGGTAGGAGTAGGACTCAGCCCATCTCCACCACAGGCTTCAGAATGGGCGAGAACATCTCTCCCTGCCACTCATTTAAAACACAGAACAAGTTGAAAGCTTGGCTTGCCTAATGTCCCTCAGCCTGTCTGGCAGAGTCTGCAGCACAACCCAAAATTATTTTTCTTGTAAGGGCCACATTGCCTCCTGGAAACCACAGCCTCACCACAATCCTTCCAGATGGCTTTTGGATTAGCATCAGCCAAGGAGCAGAAACGGGACTCCACTCATGAGTCCTAGCATGAGGCTGTGGTGTCAGCTTTGGGCCGCTCTCAACTCAGAGGACCTCAAGTGTAGACAGTCACACCTGGGAAGAAACTCATTCCTCCATGGGCAAGGACTCATGCACAGTGGTCCTTGGTAGGGGGCTTGAGAGGTTGTTACCAACTGACCCTTCTGTGCCACGTTAGCTTGTTTCTGTCCATGTCTGTCTCAGCAAGGAAGCTTCCCCAGATCATGTTTGGGTTTTAAAACCCGTCAGTTTGTCACTTCAAACTCACCATGTTGTGACTTACCCTGCGTCATCTTCAACATGCCAGGCACTGTCTGATATACAAGTGGTCTCATAATTTTACTTGTTCACAACTGGGGTCAAGGATTTTTTTTCATACCAAAAGGTCACTGAGGACCCAGATGCTTCTCTGCTGGAAGGCTTCTCTGAGCACTGGCAGTTCTGTTTTTCACAGTAGAACCATGACAGGTTCCACCCTTCAGTGTCCTGAAAAATGGAACTACCAACTAGCCAACTGCACGGGCTGCTCAGGAGGCCTGAGCTCTGAGGCCCGCGGTTCAACACTGTGAGTTCCTCGAGGTACTTGGTTTACCACCACGCTTGACTCGTGGACGAAAAAGAGAAAGGCTGTGAGCCCAAATCACCAGTTTGTTCACCTTTTCATTTAGAGATGCTTTATTCTGATCATGTGCTGTTGTTAGGTCTTATTTCCAGAAAATATAGTTTTGCTTTTTTATGCATGAAGGAAAACATCATGGTGCCACGTGCTTTAACCAGTTTCAACAAGAGAAATAAGGAGAAAATGCAAACACCACGTCTGACTTGCCTAATGTAGACTTTATTAGATGGAAGTACCTAACCTAATATGATGTATTATTTTTTAGCATCTCAAACTTTGTAAATAAATACCATTATTTTTATATGGAAATTTTATAGAAGAGCTATTTCTGTATACTTAATTATTCCTGGATTTTCTGAAATTGCT